GCAAACTCTTTCGCATCTCTTTTTCCCGTTTATTATTATTTATCGTCCGGACGTAAGTGGTTAAAAAACAAGGGATTTCAAATTCAGTTTTTAAAGTAGTTATTTTTTTTTTTACGCTACCAGAAATAATAAAAGGAAAGGATGCAAGAAGAAATAGTAAACCAGTCAGTACTAACCGCACCACCGATCGCACCGTTGTCTCTACCGCCAGATGTTCCTCAGCTCTCGTCGGAAACTTTAGCAACGGAAATTTCTAAACATTGCCAACGGAAACATTAGCAGTGACGCACACGAATGCTCTAGAAAGGCTTAAGGTGAGAACCGTGACGTCGCAGGATCTGAGGAAAGCAATACCTGATCTCAAGAGATTCGACGGTGGAATCGGTGAGTTAAATCTCTTTCATAAGGAGGAGGAAAATCTGATCGATCCTATGGATGCTAACATATTGAGAGCAGCTCTGATGTGTCGAGTCAAGAGGGGTGTCTTAAATAAGATTCAGGTTGACGAAGACACACCTTGGGAGGTTGTGAAGGATAAACTGAAGAAGGCATTTGGAGGGGACCGATGGACTCCGGAAGAAGACACCATGGAGATGTTTCGAGAGAGGAAGGATAGATGCTAGTGCTCGAGATGAGAAAAATTTGGGGCGAAGAGGAGTATGAAACCGGATGGAATAAGGTGACGTACAGGAGAATTGAAACAGGTAGAGCCAGAGCTAGGCCGGAAATGTGGAGTAAAAGAGGAGTAGTGTTTGGTAGAAGAAAAAGGACGGCGATAACAGAGAAAATGACGGGTAAGGAGAGGAGGAATAGGACGAAGGACGACAGGAGATGCCACGGATGTGGAAAAGTAGAACACCTGGTAGCATATTGTCCTCGGACCAGATGTTTTGAGTGTGGAAATGAGGGGCACATCGCAAAGCAAAGTCCATATATGAGTAGGCGAGGAGAAACAGGCCACGTTGAACCAATGGAAGTAAACGCACAAAGATTGTGGAGAAGGAGAGAAGCAGAATCTGAGTCAGGAGAATCATCAGGGACGTCCAAAACAGAAGAAAATGGGACCGAACTAAGAAAGGATCGGAGTCGAGGAGGAGCTCTAAAAGACGGAAATAGCAGGAGCGGAAGAGAAAGAGGAATAGCGGCCGAGAGGAGAGGAAGAAATGACGAGAGTGGGAGAGGAGCGGCAATCACGCGCAAATAAATAATAAAGGAGGTGAGTGTGTTGGTTTGCCAAATATAAGTCACGAGTACAATAGATGAGTTGTGCAAAGGAGAGAGGATAACAGAAAAACAGGTATATAAGTGCAAATTGATCCCCTTGGGTTGACCTTTTAGTGTAGAAGGGGATGCGGAATTATTAGTTTTGGATAGATGGAAAACGGGGAGCGGGACATTACGAGTCCACATAGTGGCAAATACGCCAAGGGATTATGGGGGCATAATAGGTTGCGACTTGTTAGGTTAAGTGGGAACACGGACGTACTGTAAGGTCAGGCGTTGGGTCATCCGAATTGGAGGGAAGAGGTATCGATGTTAGAAACTTTCAGTAGAATGAAAAGTAAGTATAGGAACAATTGGACGTCCTGTCCGACACTGAGCATAGAAGATAATAATGGAATACGCAGATATTTTTTAAAGACGGAGAGGTGTTGAGTGCAATAGGGAGAACTGTACATGAAATCTCGTTAAAACAAGAGGTGAAATAAGTGAAGGAACGACTTTGCCCACAGGCTTTGTAGCGGCATATTATGGAAGAGTTAGAAAGCTTGAAAAATCAGACAGTACTACAGATAGTATCATTGTAGACAGTACTTCGTCAAACAATAGTCCCTTAAGGGCAGACAGAAAAAAGTCTGCTGAGAGAGAGGAGAAATATAGAGTAGTAGTGAAGAAAACTCAATGAGAACACGTTGGATGAAAAGTACCCGATCCCACGATTCGAGGACATCCTCGACAGACTGAGTGGGATCACAATCTTCAGTACCTTGGATTTGAAGGCAGGATATCATCAAATATGGATGCACCTCAGATATCAACACAAAACGGCGTTTTGTTTTGAGAGGGGGCACACTCGGATGCCATTGGGGTTGAGGAACTCTCCTATAACCTTCCAGAGAATTATGGAAGTGTGTGTGGATGACCTTCTGATCTTCAACAGGAAAAAAAATCTTCAGCAGAAACGAGTGTGAGCATATCGACTCCTTGCGCCCTGTATTCGACAGGCTGAGAATGTTCGGGAAGAAATTGTCAGCAGAGAAATCCAGTTTGGGGCAGGAGCAGATATCCTTTTTGAGACATTCGATTTCGAAGGAAGGGGTTAAGCCCGATAAACTAAAGGTAGAGACAATCCCGAACATGGCGATGCCAAGGAATGTAAAAGGATTTCGCAGACTATTAGGGACATTAAATTACTATCGCATGTTCGTCCCAGAAATGGCGGAATACTTGGCACTCCTAGATAATCTACTGAAAAAGAGCTGGAAAATAATAATTACATAGTGTGGTGCATCTATTCTGACTCCCAAGAGTAATATACAGGAGTTTTAAGCAGATATATAGAACATTAAGGTACCAAATGATTTGTTTTTTTGTTTTCTGGAACGAGATATTAAGTTTAATTATTTTTATTATTGTATATTTTATTATAGGAACTGAAATGTCAAGTCTTTATGTGTTTTTAGTAAACTTTCTTGTTCTTTATTTTTGTATCGAATATTATTATCTTTGGCCCTTGCATTACTTTATGAAGGATGTTGATAAACTGGTGGAGGGGGAGAGGGAGTGGGAGGAGATATAGGTCGTGGTATTGGCTTGGGTGAGTTACCCAAGTTATCCTTTGTTCCTGATAGCGTGATGTTTATGTCTTGTGTATTTTTGTGGTAAAAGTTTTCAACATAGCCTCATTTGTTTCCTGAAGTGGTTTCCTGACATCACATAGTGGAATCCCTTGTGAGGAAATTAAGAATATTGGGTGTTTAAGAGTTGAAAACTGCCAAATGGTGAACAAATCCTCATTCGTTTCCTGAACTGATTTCCTAATATTTAATAGTGGCATTTCTTGTGTGTGGGGAATTAAGGATAATGAGTACTGAAGAGTTGAAAAGTGCCAAATAGTTAACAAAGCCTCATTTGTTTCCTGAAGTGAGTTCCTAATATTAAATAGCAGCATCTCTTGCGTGGGAAATTAAGGGTAATGAGTCCTTATGAGTTGAAAACTGCCAAATAGTGAACAAAGCCTCATTTGTTTCCTGAATTGATTTCCTAATAATAAATAGTGTATTATCAGTCTTTCAAGACAGAAATTACAGAAAGAAATGGGAAAAAATACTTGAAAGTTTAACAGATAAATTTGATAGTGAAGTTAAGTTAGAAAACATAAGAATTTGCAGTGATATCCCTATATCAAATGATGAATGTCTAGATATACTAAAGGGTAAGAATATACCATGGAGCGATGGCGATGGTGGGAGAGACAAACAAGAAGTAGAGTTCATATTTGGAGCAGATGTCATGGAACAAAACCTGACAGAAAGGTTAGAACCAATTACTGAAAATTTGATATCCACAGAAACTAGGATATGTTGGACAGTTATTGGGCTAACTAAAACACAGGCCTGTTCCATGCTAAGAACACCTACAAGAGCAAGAACTTTACAGCGCTTAGACTCTAGTGCAAGTGAGTCTCACCATTCAGGGCAAGCTGGAGTATCTTCGACCCATTACAATAGTTTACAAAGGAGTCGTCTAGATGCTGGCACTACTCAGAAGACCGGATCAGTACCAATTAAGATAATAATTCCACGCGTCATACAATCCCTTTGAGTAAAACCACCTGTCACACCTGCAGCTCGAAACACGTCTTTCCAGGAACATCGCAAGAGATAGTATCAGATCTGTCGTCAGCAAAAGGTCCCCATCAGAACCAGATCTTAGTCAGAAAAGTACAAGGAGAGGAGAACAAGTAACAACTGGTATGGCGAATAATTCTTCATTCTCCTCTAAAGAAGTTTTCCAAAACTGGAAGGGAAGAAAAAACAGCTAAGAAGAGTAGTTTATCTCGGAGTGTTATTAACCAGTGATCTTTGTTCCTGATAGTGTGAAGTATATGTAGAGGAATAAAATTGCTTTGTGTTTGATGGTATAAAAGTTTTCAATATAGCCTCATTTGTTTCCTGAAGTGATTTCCTGAAATCACAACCAATTTACTCAAAGAAAACGTGCTTATAAATAACGAAATCTTTGTATTAGTGTCCGGTGTCATCTCAGTTCTTGCACATAAATTTCCGATATTGTTTAATTAATTTGATACTATGTGTCATCTTTGGTCATATACTCATTATTGTGGGTGAGACAGACTTTTAAAATACAAATTTAACACGGCTAAAACCACTGTACAGTGGTAGTTTATAATAAAATATTGTTTGACATTAATAATTTCTATTATTATTTAAAAGTGCACAAATTTCAAAGTCCAATCGTTAAGACCAATTAAATTGCAAAACCTTTATTGTGTTTTATCATCCTCTATTAACCTACCGTTTCTACCGCTAACATGATCCACATATTCAAAACGCGCATAGTGCGCAACAATGTATAGTGTTACTTTAAAAATACAGAACGTTAAAAAAAAACAACGGTATACTATGTATTAATTATTAATAATATGCAGTACTTTATAAATCAATACTGTAAACCACTAATAATGTACAATTCATTGATAGTTTTCAAATAAAATCATTTCACAATTTTTTTTCAATGTTACGCTTAAATAACATTTTACTATTATACTATGTTGTTATTACTACAACGTCCTATATAATAGTTAATAAATGTTTGGCTTTATTAAATTAATCGTATTATTTATTACAATCAGACACTATGTATTATTTATTTTAATTAGACGCACTTTTAAAAATTGAGCCTATTAACTCATATTTAACCAATGCTCCTTAAAGTATGAGAAACTCTTAAACGTTATTTCATGAAAATATTCATACCCTGGTCCTTATCCTTTTTATAGCACCACAGAAGTGTCGTAATATCTTGGCCATTTTCTGGAGTCCTGCCTGTACTTGAAGTGTGTATAGTAATTGTTATTTGTAACTCTACATATTGAAATTTTGATAAATATGTTGTGTTCTATTTGTACTGGAATTTTGACTTTTAATACTTCATTTTCAATTATTGAAGTTTATTTGATCACATGTTTTTCGTATTATAATCAAATTAAATCAGATCTATATGACATCTTTAACTGTTAACAGATTTATAATAAAAGGATTGTTTTGTTTTAATCTGATTATTTTATTGTTACGTTATTCTTTTTTCTCTATTTTAGATTTCCATGATCATTATAAAACTTTTTGACAATTTTTTTCTCAAAAATATACATGTTACATAGTTTCGATGTCAATCGTTGATGGAACGCAAATTATCGCGATCGCTCAAAGTTAAAAATGGTAAGTTAAGAAAAATTAATAAAACAATATTAAATTAAAAACTTTATTCATTATACCTAAACAATGAGTACAAATCTGTCAAATTACCATTGATCCAACTATTAAATGTAGGTAGGTTCTATAAACTATTCATCTAGTATTTTGGAAGTACATAAGTGAGGCTATGACAATCTTTCTTGCACTTTTCGGTTATTCTCACACTTCTTACTGTAGATATGGAACGGATGTTATGGAAATATGGAACGCATTTTTTTTCCCTCTAGAAAATGAAATAAATTTTATGGTCATGTTTTGTGATTAAATTAAAGTACCTTATTTAATTCTTCAATGACAATTATTATGTAGATAAAAATTATTTTTAACATTAGAAATTTCATTTGTGAAAGTTAAAACCTTTTATTTATATTTTATTACTTTCTATCGTGGAAGGTTATCTAATATCATTTACTATTTTCACTAATACTAATAATAAATACCATATGTAAATCGTGCGAGAAAGGTATAATTATTGGAGATTGCTTTTGCTATGTTCCTGGCCTCGCGTTTCTACGGCGAGTAAGGGGTTCCAGGAATCGCATTTATTTGTATTAAAATGTATTTAATACTTATATTTGTATTGAAATGTTAGATACCACAGACCCCCTACTGTAGTATCCTAGATTGAACCATATACTCTTTATTGGATTTCCTTTCTAAAGGTATCATGTTTATAAATTTACTATTTGTTTCTATTACTAATTGGTGGCATGCAAGGTAGAATGTAAAAGTACTACGTTGGTTTACTAACTATTATATTTACAAGCTTAAATAAAACCAAAAACATCTATATACAAAATAATAACTAAACCTATATACATAATGAATAGTTGAGAATCATACTGGAGGAGAATGCTTGATGTTTGATTAAAGTTACGTGTTATATTGATTATATTAATTAATGATGTATGGTTGCCAACACAAATTTACATTAGTATAACTAAATGCTTGTTACCACTTAGCTGGTCCTTCATAGTGTTCTAGGTGTTTCTAGCCGTCATATCTGGATTCCCTGTCTCTGCTCTCCTTCAGCGTCTAGTCCGTCCATCTGCTCTCTCCGGCTGTCTTCGTCTTCCTCCCTCGACTCCCCCGCTTGAAGTCTCCTCCGCTCAGTCCCAAAAGAAGTCTCCTCCTCTCGAGTCCCAAGAAGAAGTGTCTCAGTCCCAATTCTCTATTTCCCACCTTTTTTCATCCCCCTCTCTTTTGGTAGTCTTTTTCCTGATTGGCTGAATATTCTCAGCCTAAGGGATGACCACGCCCTCTCCCCCAGGCCAAGGTAAAGCAGCAGGTACAGACTTCAGTATTTCTGGTGGAAGGTGTGAAAAGGTCTTTCGGGATCCTTTTTAAACACTTAGTTGTCGGTCTTTGTCGGTGGTCCTTAAGGTTTTTATTACCACTTACAAAAGGTTGGGCTTGTGGGTCGTTACCCTCAGTCAGGTACCGCCAGATGTGAACACTTATGATGTTTATTTATACATTTAAAATAATTATTCCACCGGCGGTCTTTACAATACATAGCATTCTCCTAGTCTTGGGGAAAAGAAAAAATTAATAAACTTGTTTATTTGATTTTTTCTTTAGATATTATTCATCAATACCTTTACAATAGGCTTCCTCTATCTGATCTCAGAATGAAAAGTAAACATTTATTTATAAACAATATAGGATGAGATTTAACTCAAATATACACAAATTTATACATTAACTACTAGAAATACTGAAAAAATATGCTTTTACACAACCAGTAATTCAATTTTACTTACATATCTCAAATTTCTCAATTCTGCAATATATCAATACCACTACTCGTAATTCTTTATAGTTTATCTCTCTGTTTAGTGGAACACAAAACAAAACATAAATATACATTATGATATTAATTACAATAATGTTGAACCTTTCATTCAACTATGTTTCTTCCTTGTTTACTGAAATATCATTCAAACAACATTTTATAGTGTGATTGCCTTGAATATCTAACATTCACTTTATATTTACACTATTTCTATGATTCTTATTTATACTCTCAAAAAAGAGTCTTTCATAAGGCAACTCATTATTCTGTCACTTTGATTTTTACACATAATACAACAATGACATATATATTCATTCAGTATCACTACTACCTTGTGTGGCAACCGTTATAACAAAAACAAAAATTTTACCTTAGGTTTCTAAGTGGTTTGTACCATCTTTTACCTTTAAGCTTTTATATCATATCTTTGGTCTAGAAGCTCATAGCATTCTCATCATTACAACAGTCTTAATTTCTCACAATTTTAATCATATACCTTTAGCTCTCCAAAAGGAGAAGTCAAAACTTGTTTTTAAACAATGGGCTGGCAAATGTTCGTGAAAAACATTTTAATGTCACTATCGGGTACTTATTTTATATTTTGCTGAAATAGTTGAATGAACCTCAGGCGACTTCGTTTTCTTTATTCTACAAACTCTATTCAATGAATATTAAAATTCCTATCTTATGATTTTCAATTATGATTTAATTATGAATGATCATCCATTTCTTACACGTGGCCGCTATAAACCGTTAAATTTGCCTCAAATGTAGTCATGTGCACATCATAATGATGAAGTATATTACTTCAGCCCCATTTACCATTATAATTTTTAAATCTTTAACTTCTGGATCCATACACATACTACCTCAGTACTCTGGAGGTATAGTTATAGAAGATTTCTTTATCTTCTCCTAATTATTTATTATCAATCACACTTAGTGATGAATGGATGCACTACAGCTATTCCATCAAAAGGGTTCTCCCTTATATAAAATTTATCAACCCTACGGGTGATGAGGAGGACCTATGTCTACTCCTAGTTGAGGGTAACTATTCCCTATTCCTTTAAACTAAATCCTATCAGGATTAAAAACAAAATGGTCCAATTTTTCTTAAGAAGTTAATTTGGAGTGCTCGTCTGCGCTAACTTTGAACTACGGCAATATAATTTTAACTAGGTTTTACTCCCATCAATCTGGCCCACTGTACATTTAAATTAAAATGAAAAGTTTTATCCCTTTATTTAATAATGATTTATTTTCGGTCCTTCCCTTTTTCTTTTCTAATAAAAGTTTAGTAACACAAATCTATTATTAAAAAGGTTTTAACTCTACTTTAATTTAACTATTATCATAAGATCATACGATGAATTCAATTATAAATTTACTTTGGTCGGTTCAGCCTGAGATTCCTTCCATTCAGCCATCTAAATTAGTTATTAAAGTCCTATCACCCTATTTACAACTAACTATATACAGTTTATTTACACTCATCCAGAATGGGTAACCTGACGATGGTTTCGCCAGGACCCATTAGCCCGTCAACGGAAGGGACGCTAAAAAACCCCTTTTTGCCAACTGGAATGGGACAAAGACTACCGCGGCTTAAAATAAGATCTTAACCGGCCTGTCCTAACATGGTTCAGAGCCATATACCTTTATATACCTCATCTTCTAAATATACATGGGGATTGTCTCTTTTCTGCATACCTATAATAAATAATCTTATTAATCCTCGTACTATCTTTTATGTTCGATAGTCTTTTGTTCCACCCTTCTATCTTAGTGGTTTATCTTCTACTTTCGGAGACGTCTTTTCTGTTATGGAAGGTTCGACTGAAGCTGGGGGCGTATATACTCTTCTTTAATTTCTAGAATCTCGTGGGTCTCCTTATCGACCTGGAAAAAGGATTCTCTGATCCTTATGGAACCTAATACAAAACCTTTCAAGGTTTCCTTCTGGGATTCTTTAATTCCTTCCTCTTTTTCACTGATTTCTTTTATACCGAGATTTTCTGATTCAAGATCTAATGTAGAGGCTTCGTTTTCTTGTTGGGCCTCTATAATTCCTTCTACTTTCGGAGAAGTCTTTTCTGTTCTGGAGAGTTCGACTGAAGCTAGGGGGCCTATATATTCTTCTTTAATCTTTCTATTCTCGCCTAAGGAGGGTTCGGCTAATATAGGTTCATCCACTTCACTAACTTCATTAGGTTCCTGTTCAGATTCAAGACATTCATTCTCTTGACCTTGAACATTTTCAATGTCACTTGTTTGATTTTCTTCCAATGGGTGTTCTTGGCTGACCTTTTCTTCTCCTCCTGTCTTTTTATTTCACTCGGTTATTACTTTAGTGACTGTGACTCTATAGATTCCATTAGGCTTCTTTTCGAATTCCTAATACTTTCACCCATTATGTCTATTAAATTTTCTTGCAGTTTTTTGTTGCCTTCTTCTATTTTCTGAAGGAGTATTAGAAACATGTTATTTCCTCCTGAACTAAAATTATCCTCTATCTTCTTATTGGCCTGTGGCTGGGTTTTCTTCGGGATTTGAATCACTGTTTCTTCAGTTGATCTCAGTTCTGGTTTTCTGGGTGTTTTCTGATCAGCTACTGCTTCAGATCGTTTAGGCTTTGGTAGTATTTCTGTTTCTACCCTAAGAGCCATCTTAAAAAGTATGTGCGTATATTATCCCTTTTAATTTAATACCTATTTTAACCTTTTAGGAAGGGGTTAAACGCTATCATAAAAATAATTCCCAATACCTTTAAAAAATATCCCATTAATAATAAACCACAATATAAACAAGCCACTTTTAATACAAGACCATTAAATAGGAGAGTGAAGATTTTTCGATATTAAAAATAGGTTTGACACAAATTATTGAACCGCAGAATCAGCATAGTTTTTAAATCAA